GGGTGTTTTTGATATTTGGTTAGGTATATTTATATATATAAAAATGTCTCATAATTTGTGCAAAAGGCTGTATATTATATTATATTATATTTATAACAGCATGTATATTTCTCGTATGTATATTTCTCGCATGTATAACCTCGCTGGCGCCGGAAGAATTGTGTCAGTCAGGATTTCTTCGGAATTCTTTATTTACTCTCAAACTTATACACAAAGGTTTTAATTTCAGTACTTGAGTGAGTTATATTAACTATAAAACAAGATGTGTTGAAAATAATTGATGAAAGGGATACAAATTATACTATACTGTTATTTGAGTGCAAACCTAGTCAGGACCAAATGGTCAAGTTAAATAAGTTCTTGATGGTGGAGCCTTCTTCACCGAGTCCAATGACCAAGGCTAGCTACCTACAACGAGCTGTGGCAAACGTACTGCAATACATGCAGCACCGGAAGTATGCAGGAGGGACTGTCATCCTTCTACCAAGAATAACTAGAGACGATCGGCTGGGAAAGTAGGTACAACAGGTTCCTTTGAGGATGGTATAAAGGTCACAATAAAGAAAGATGATTTCTTCGTAACAAACACGCAGAATAAGAAGCGTTTTATGACCGGAGATCGAGTGCAAGAACAGAATGTTATTAGACATAGCTTCACCCAGCTTTGCTTGTGCTGTTCCGAATGTTCCATACTTTTATTTGTGTCAGACGTGGTTTTGGGTTCTGGGCTGTAGAAGAGGTCACATCTGTTTTGCCTTGCATAAAAGAATGAGCAAATCTTTATTGTCCCCAACAAGTACTATAGAGTTTTCAGCGGCAATTGAGATGGATGTCAACGATTTAGAAGATCTGCCTCCGCATCGGCTTGGGGAGTATAGCAGCCACTTTCTGGGACCCATTTTTGTAAATAGCGTAATAATAGGGTTATGACACATCACGTCCATGCATTTGGAATTGGAAAGTCGGCACCTTTAAAGAAGTTGTGTGACTCAAGCTACTTCCAAGATTTAAGAATAAAATGCTCTTGTCGCGATGTATGGAGGGAAGCAATGAGATGTCCCTTGATAGCTTGCGTCACCGTAGATATCACGAGAAAGTGTATACTAAAGGCCGTCACGTTGAGCCTCAGAATCTGCCCCTGACATCAGGATCAGCTAGATTTCATAGTATGAGGGTTTACTTGCAAGGCAGTGGAAGGGAGATGATAGAGACGTGTCCATAGAATACTGGGGTTGCAAAATTAAGAGGCGACCATGTTTTTTCCAATTACCACGCAGCTTCCAGCTTCACCTGAGATCTTACTTAAGATGATATGATGTAACTGTGCTATAGACTGTTCGACCGCGAGATGTACCTCTAGCAAGTATTAGATTGCTCCTTGGCATGTGGTCAATGCATGTGGTCCAAATGCCAAATCTATTAACTAAAGCATTTTGTACTTAAGTTGTAGCTTACAGTACTTTGTCTCATATACAGATATCCTATGATAATTATAGTTGCTACAAATTCAAACATTAGTGATTCATATATTTCCGAGCAGCCAGGATAAAACAACCATGGGTAAGCAAGATTAGCAAATAGTATATTTTAATAGACAAAACTTGTAGCAAGACCGTATACCATGAGAGTACACAAAAATGTTTTGAAAACTTTGAAGTATCCACCGTTAAATATTGCTAACCTAAGTTGAGCAACTTTGGAAAAATAGTTCTAGTGTTTAGTATCTTATTCCACTTAATTTTCGCGACTCCTTAAGTTTCGCGATTCAATTTGACGGCGATAATTTGCGACACAAATATTGCGATTTTCAAATTTACAGGATTTAACAATGAGAAAATAACAAATAACTAAGAGTATTTTATTAATCTTATTTCCGAGACATCGAATTTTCGCAAGATTTTTCAAATTGCGAAATTCGCGTTAAGGGACGTGAAAATGTTTACTGATATTTATGTTGCTAACAATTATAATTTCACTTGCTTAATTGCATACTTATAAAAGTTTATGCGTAGAAAAACATGTCTATGTGCTTTGTTTTGTAATATTTATATTTTCATGTATTACTATCGAAGTTACAATAAAATTTAAGGAAATTACAGAGTACTTCCGGTGTCAGCCTCGTTTTCATGCTGTGGTCGTATGGCCTTTTCACCATGCTGGGATTTTTTGGGACTTTTAGTATGTTGTTCTAGACGTTAATTTTCGAAGAGAAAGCTTTTGTGGGAAATAGTTCCAGGTCCTAGCGTAGCCAATGCTTGGACTAATGAGTGACTGTGGATTTTGTAGACAGGTTACTTTCTTACTAGGCCTTACTAGCCCATGTCTTTTCAATTTGTCTTTTGCAATTAAACAATTTGGCAGATCATGTGCTGTATGCATAAACTATTTTAGAGCTGTAAACAGTTAGGTACTTAAAACTTAATATTTCAAATATATATCATATTTTTTTTTGGCTGGGTAATTGAGTAGAGAAGAAAGTCTATGTTGTAACTTCAGCTTATAAATACACGAATTAATCTTGGCGTTACGGGTAACCAGTTTCACATTACTTGTCAAGGGTTATGGCATGTTTAGTATTCCGCTTGTCGTGGCCGCCATGTTTGTCCGCCATATTGACACGAGTTACCTAGTTCCCAGTTCCGACCGAGCCTTGTGAAATAAAAAATCACGTGACCAACGCCATGTACTTGACAATGAGGATGAATTTATCTCTTTTGATAATGGAAAATGTCGTCTATTTAACATGCTTAAAAACTCGAAAAAGCTTCGTTAGAGAAATCTGGTAAAACGAATTGTATGTACTCGACAATCAAGATTGCATGTACAACTTTGGGTGTTTACTGAAGCCAAGGTGACTGRTGAGATCAATAATTACTCGAGCCCAGGCCCTAGGCCAGGGCAAGAGTTATAAAGTGCAACGCGTTTATTTTTTTTCCGGTCTCCCGATCACCCTCCGATCTCTATACGAAATATCATGTACTTTCCAATACGATCTATAGATTACAGCCTCAGTCTTGGCCCGTAACTAGGTACAATGAGAGGTAGTGATTCGAGGGCTATGAAGTCAGTCATTTTACAATTCTAAACCTAATCCAATATCCTGTTTCCATCAAATTCTAGTCAAAACTAAGAAGATGGTGGTCTTAACTATAGGAGGTTGTACAACACATGAAACTAAATGTAATAACATTAACCAAAACAGTCTAGGCCTGTAATATAAACATAAAGAAAAGTACAAGGTCATAAGAAATTCATCTAAATCTCACAAACACCACATCTTTCAAATTCTGTTATCTGACATTTATTTCGGGGGTATGTGTGGAGAACACGAAAAAAGGCCTAAAACATCACGATCGCTAGTGTTATTCAGACATCCCCAAGTGCTTTATTTCACCGATAAACGCACAGCAATCCATCCTTTATTATTTTCATGATATAGAAAGTTAGTCATGCTCGCGAGCGAAATAAATCAATGAACYACTCACAGCTTCTTTACTATAATTACATCTATATTATAAACTATTATAATATTTTTGACCTATACAGCGGATTCAAAAGGACGTGTAATAACGTGTAATCAGGCATTCGATATTGCTTTTTTCATGTTTTTCTCAAGTTCTTCSGCTCTTGTCATTTCGTCATATTGCTTCATGTCTTCTTGGCCAGTGGTAAACGACCATCCACTAGCTGGTTTAGATAATGCAGGACTGTATGGTCGTCCGCTGGCTGGATGTAAGTTCTCCCAGTACGATCGGCTTGCACGAGCTCTGACCCAGGGTTTGGTATGTTGACGGAGATTTGCTCCCCACATTTCGTCCTTAGCACTTGAGGGAGGTAGTTTACCACGCTCTTTACTSAGCTGCAAGAATTTAAATAAAAAAGGATTAATACAGTCATCAGTTTTCAGCATTCGAGTTCATACCCGCATGCGATTTCCGTACGCTTACGATGAATACCTCTTGAGCAATTGCCCGGATGTGGTAGGCTTCAAAGCCACAACAGCCTCCAATGTACCGTACACCAAGGTTGTAGGCTTCTCTTGCGTATTTATGGACATCAAAACGAGTCAATGTACGAGGTTCTAATGCTGGAATAAATAATAGATCAATCCATTCTCTGGAAAAAAAATATCATGTCCATGTTTAAACAAACAATAACAATTTTTTAAGGTGGTKATATTATGCCTTATTTTTGGAATTGTTAAATGTAGTTTTCTTTTACTCCTCTCCATTCTCCGTTCGGCCTTTCCCAGTYCCCTCAGAGCCGCTATGCTATTAAAACGTCAAATCTTGCAACTCCATTTTCTATTTTCTMTTTTAATGGACAGAGATTTTCGATGTTAAATGAGAAGTCTATACTCATGAATTCAAATCATATATTAGGTCTTGGATCGAKAACGAGAWATGTCAATGGTCAGATACTGCTTTACAAAKGATAAACAGYGTTATCCATGCAACTTGGTGGATCCATATCAGCGAATAAAATTCAGTTAAAATCTATGCGATGGATAATTTCATCCACCATTCGACAACGCATTTGTTATTGACTAGTTCCTTAGCYATCTGGCCTCTTCGTTTTGACCCCAATATGACACCTTTTAAAGAAAAACATGGTTCTTTCTTTATAGACTCCTTGCAGTGTCATTTTGGCGTAAATCGACTTCTTGTAATGGATGCTTACTCTTTTAAAGAATTAAATTTACTCCTTCAAAGAATAAGTGGGCAACAAGAAGACTCAATTAACCCTCCTGAAGAGTCAAACAACTCAAGAGTCAAACAACTGAGATGCCGTTTTGACACTCCTGTTGGGGTGTAGGGAGTGTAGTGATCATGGAAAAATACCGATGTTTTAACTAATTACCGTGCGGAAACTCTGGAGCGCTTGTGAATCCAATGGCATCTACGTCTGGTGTCAAATATCCTAGGGGCTGAACCATAAGGTGCTTTTTGATCCCTGCCTTTTGCAAGCCMTCTTTCATCAGACGTATGGTACTTAATGCACGATTGGGACCAAAGTCGCAATTYACACCAACTATATCAGCTCCTGGGAATAATTGTAAATGAGTAACGACGCCTTGCATAGTAGAATGTTAATGAGTAGTTATGCCGAGCATACGCTATAGGGCTGAATGTCACATTGTGYCCCCTACCTGCTTCAGCCAATCTTACTGCACATTCACCTGGAGGTACATCATCTAAATCGCCTTTTTCACATATTGCAACACACATTGCTACTGGAAGACCAGAATTCTTGCACACCTCCGTAGCCCAAACTGCTTCTTCTACATGATCAAACGTCTAAAAAATATCACATTAGATAATTTCGTTGACTGACCGCGCGTAAAAGAATTGAAAACGGAGGGTCTGAGGAAACAATGAACAATCGATTTGTCAATAACAATTTCATTTTTTTGGTCTCGAGCCTTTAACACTTGCTACTGTAGCACGTGATTTCGTTATACAGGTATTTTTGGCTATCGAAGAAATTGCATGAATCAGTCACATGGTACTAAAACCGCCATACTGGCAAAATAACCATTGGGATGTTCAAAACAAATAAAATTCAAGCTCGACTGGCTGCGTTCCTTTTGTTTTTGAGGTTCTTTACATTCTATTGCCATCCAGTATGGCGGAGTTAGTACCATGTGGCAGTTTCATACAAAAGGCCTATTGCGCTGTGGAGATGATTCGGTCGTGATTGGTCAAAAAGGATCGATTGGGGAGGTTCCCGCGGTTCAATCAGCAACCAGCTGCACTTTCTTAAAAATCACACAACCCGTAAAGATAATAGCAGTTTTGTTTTACCTCTCCTATAAGGAAATCTACTCCATTTTCTAAGAGAATGTCAACTTGTTTCTGGAATTGCCGTTGGACAATTTCCTTTCCTCGACCGTCCATGTAAGATGGGGTTTCGGCAAGCCCACCAGCAACAAGTACATCACCTTGGTTGGCAACCTCACGTGCCAGTTTGCAGGCTGATTCATTGATCTCTTTYAACTGAAAATGAATACTAAAAATATGAGTATTTCATTCAGTCAACAGCTCTTATATAAACGTCGACAGTGATATTTCTCTCCTAAACTGAACACTTTTTTTACCCCGATTCGAATRGCTTGGTTTCCTCGGTTTATCAACTTGTCTTCTGAAGCGTAGAAATTATATGCCTGCATGACGTCAGCACCGGCGCGAAGAAACTCGATGTGAAGCTGTCGGACTGTGGAATTGGTACAACAGTGTTAGTTTTTCGTATGGCTTCAAACTTCAAGAAGGATAGACTTGGTGTTATATCGARGCATGCAGAAATAGCCAGGCTATCAAATAATTTTTTGAACTTTTTTGTGATTCTAACTTCTACCTACCAGCCTCGGGAAATTCGACCACAACTTCAGGAGTATATACACCAGCTTTGACGTAACCTCTTTTCTCCAAAGCAAACACAAAACCTCCATCACCAATCACTACTTCACCAGCATCTAGACGTTCAAGGATACCACGAGGCTAATGAAGACATATGGAAATAGAATTTTTGTAGCTAGCTTCTTCTGAATGAGGCTACAATCTTATGCAAAATAGACTGAACACCCTTCCCCCTTTCTCCACTGCAAGGCTGTTCACGCGTTTCCTTCGCCTCCTTGTCGATTTTGTGGCATTTCATTGACGAACAACATTGTGAAAGGGGAGGGGAGATTGTAGTAACACAATCATAGACAGTGATTGTAGCCTAGCCACTTAGCTATCGTGCTGAGCTCGTAACTAGGTGAGTGTAAACAGCACAGGGAACCCGAAGTTACGTCACCATAAGATAGTGCATGACATGGCTTCCTGTGTCTAACGGCTCAGTTGACTGTGTGCCAAGTGGCCCGTTTAATTAGTTTTCTCAACTACATTCATATTAGCCAGGAAGGTCAGGAAGAACCTAAGAACCTAGTCGAAGTAGTTTGGCGATGAAAGTCCCTGTGAATTGAGTTACCATATACACCTTTTTAATAAGTCCTGACTGGGTATTGTGTTCTCCTTTTGTATTATAAGAATTTCAAAAGAATAAATTTGACGTCAAGTGCGGAAAACTCAATGCCTTGGGACTTGTTAAAAGGGTGTATATCGTTTATTTTTCTTCGATTCCAACCATACTCGTCAATTTAACATATATGTTACGCCACCTCTATAATAAATTAAAATTTATAAAAGACATTAATCACTGATCATCTCTTTAAAATGAGATCTTTAGTGTACAGAACTGTTTCGACCATATATTTTGTCATCATCAGTATATTAAATACTGGATGGATGATTTTTACTTGATTCGAAAGTCGCATGGTATTTCGTGATTCGATTTTAGTATTTATCAGTCGATACGTTATTCCAATTTAGGTTAAGAAAAGTTTGGAGATCTAAAATTATCACAAGAAGAACTAAGCTCGGGCTCTATAAGACCCTAGTGGTGCCAGTATTGTTATACGGCTGTGAAACGTGGAAAATGAATAAAAGTGATAACAAAGAAATTGACGTGTTCCAAAACAAGTTTTTAAGGAGTTTACTCGGAATTAAGTGGCAAGATCATGTTAGCACAGAAGAACTATTTAAACGGGCAGAGACAGAACCTCTAAGTAAAGTAATAACGAGGCGGAAATGGGCACATACTTAGGAAAGATAAGAACAGCGACGAGATGATTGCCTTGACATGGGCCCCTGAGGGAAGAAGACGCAAAGGCAGGCCGAAAACAACATGGCGTCGGACAGTTATAAACGAAAGGGAGCTATTAGGATTTGGAACATGGGAGGAAGCGAGGGCAGTGGCAGCGAACCGGGAGAAGTGGAGAAGCTCGATAAAGGCCTGATGCACCACTTGGTGCGAAACAGCGCGATGACGTTATTCCAATATCAACAGTCCAGGAGCGTCCAGTCCGGTAATTCAGGGTCACTGACTGTTACCACAAACAACGTCTACATTTTCAGTAAATCCCCAAGAAGAAAAAAGGCCGATAATTATGATATTTATTACTAATTTGATTGTTATTAGTTTATTAGGCTATTTATTACTGCATTTTTGATCAATCAATCGACCATGACCTTGTGGAAATACTCCAGTTTCGAATTCTCCAATCCTCTGTGTTAGCCTCATTTGTGCGCAAAATATTCTTTATTGTGAGCGTAAAAGTGTGAGATTTCAAATCAAATTTATTGTTTTTCTTCACAAAATTCCATGCGTTTTCTCGAGCTATCAGTGAAACAAAAGAATATGTTACTTGGTTTTGAGGCTAACACAGAGCAAACCAGAACCCGAAATTGGAGTATTGGCCAGTATCAAAGCTACAATAGTAGATGTAAGAGTTATAGACTCTGCATTGCATGATGATTTCGTAAGACTA